TATAACTGATTTTTTGTTTGTTTGTTTTAAGCTTTTATTTTGCTGATCAATTGTTTAATGCATCTTTTTCTTGATTCTCAAAAGAGAAAATTGCATTATATTTTTCTTCTAGAAAATACGAAGAGTTAAAATATCAACATTTGATTTTTATTCAACTTGAGAAGCATTTTTCTTACCGACATCGGTTTCCAGGCCATGCAAAATGAACGTTTTTGGTTATCTTTTTGCTGTATAGGTAATAACCAGAATCAACTACGGTCAGGATATTAATATTAGTGGACTAGCTGGAGCTGTTTCATTAGCTGGCTCCGATGATGGCTTGTGGTCAGTTGATGGTGGTAATTGGCAGCTTGCTGCTGGTTTGATAAACTATTCTAATGTCACATTACATCTTAATGAAGAGGTGACCTCCGTTTCCTATGTTGAAGGCCAGAATTATGCTCTCAGCACTAAAGAAGGATTGCAGTACCACTGTGCAGTCACCGTATTTGCCACTCCTCTGGACGAGCTAAACATCACATTTACACCTCCAGTTTCAATTCCCAGCAGGAGACTACAGCATACTTTTACAACCTTTGTGAGGGGTTTCTTAAACCCGGTAATAACCTTCTTTTGTCATTTTTCCATTTGGTTGATTTCATTTATGGAGGTTTAGTTGATTTTCTATTTGATGCTGAATAGTAATCATTTTTTTTTTTTGTGAAATTTGAATAACTCTTTTACTTTATTATTATTATTATTATCCATATTTTTTATATGTTTAGCTTGAAGGTCAGAATAGTTGATTATAATTCTATAATACAAATGTTGGAAAAGTTGAACCAAAAAAAAATTGAGCTTTGGAAATAAAATGGATTTAATAATATTACAGTATAAGTTTATTATGCAGCTATGCAACAAATTCCTTCTTTTTATTTATTTATTTTGCCAATGTGGATGGCCGCACAGCATTGTTTGCACTATTCTGTTAAATAACATATTGAATATTTTTCAGTTGAAAATTATGGATCATTATGTGTTGATGTTTTCCTT